GGGATTTCAAATTGTAGAATAGATAAACAAGATTATACTGTATAGCACAGGGAAAAATATACAAGATCTTATGGTAGCTCACAGAGAAAAAAATGTGACAATGAATATATATATGTTCATGTATAAATGAAAAATTGTGCTCTACACTGGAATTTGACACAACATTTTAAAATGATTATAAATCAACAAAAAATGTTAAAAAATGTTGATTAAGATACACTATTGATTTCATGTTCCACCAGTGAGTTACTGGCTACAGTTTGAAAACCCCTGTTCTAACCTCTGACCTACTGTCTAGGCTTGCCTCTAGCTTAAGACTTAAGCTAACAGGATAAAAAGGTTTTGAGAGACTCACAAGTGGCCCAGAGCAGCAGGGTAAAGATGAAGTAACAAAGGTAGTGAAGCTGCCTGGAAACCCCATGATCCCTGAGCACTTAGCAGAACTAGCAAGATGGAGAGAATTCAGATTGGAGATTTTTGACTAAATCTTTTCTGATTTGACACAATTGATCATGGAATACAGAATGTGATTCAGGATGGTCAACTGGTAATGTTCAGAATGATAGTTATCCCTCGAGACACAGTGATACGTTTTGTGAGGCTCTCTCCAAAGTCCTTTTCTGAATCCAAAAAAACTTCACGTGTAATGTCAGATTTCTTTCCACAAAGAGAGGAAGCCCATAGGGAATATTTCTGTCTGATACTTCTTTTCCTGCTTTCTAGAAGACCATCATTATGATAGGTGAAATGAAACTTTCCATGCTGCATAACATTTTCTTAAAGTGAAGCTTATCCAGTTCTGTTAATAACTGGTGAAACAGTACAGATGATAACAGATTGCAGACATACTGCTTATATTCTGATTAGGCTTTTAGCTTATTAAAAATGATGTTTATATAAAGATCTTGTACAAGCACTTAATTATTAACTATTTTGTCAATGAAAACCAGAAAACATGAGTTCTTATCCAAGTGACTCAAGTATTATCGGACAGATGCTGATACATGCTTGGGCAAGAGTCACTCCCAGCACTAAGGTACAGCTAAATTAGACTAGACTTTAGGCAAGAGCACAGGCTAACATGGGAGCAATGAGAATGCTGCTAACCCCTCTTTAGTGCCCGAAACATGTGGATACACCCTCTCATCCTTCATGTTACCAACAGCTTTATCTGATGGAACAGTGTTGACAGAGCTTGAGCTGGTGCCAGCCCTCCTGATGAGGAACAAGGTGGAACAGCTGCTGGCTGGAGGGAATGTTTCCTTTTTTGGAAGTAGCAGTAAGATGATATATGAAAATATGGTTGAAACGGACTATCACAGATTGCTGATAGAAGAAATGTTCTTAGTTTTTAGACAACAAAGGATCAAAGAAAGTCAAATAAATGGCCAACATATACAAAAAGGCATCCAAACATTGACATGGAAAATATAAATCTGAAGGAAATAATAATTGGCCACATAGATACCAGTACTAGCAATTGAACTGAGTTCTACTCGATGCAAGATTACGTTTGGTCCTTTTACACCAGCAGATTAAGCTTGAAAAGAATAGTAAAGACAAGAATGCTAAAGTCCTAGTCAGGTGGGAAGCTTGACTATCACCACGTCAGTCAAATCACACAGACCTGTGATGCCAATATAAAAACCAGATGGAAAAGAAACTGCTTGTCTAATTTCAGGAAAGAAGTAAAACCTGAAACAGGTAACTTTTATAACTGTAAAAGCTAAGAAGGGCAAATGGAAACAGTAGTTTCATTAATAAGCATCTTTCTTAAACTCAGCAAAGATGTATTCATTCTCAAGTCTGAGACCAATAGAACCCAACTGCTTTCATCTGCTCCTTTCATCTCATGTGAGAACAAAAGTTACTGTGTCTTCTTCACTTAATAGTAAACACGAATGGACTCTATTCTTCACAAGTTTTGTGAATCTGAACATCTGTTTAACCAAGATGCAATGATGAATAATGTCCCTAATGTCCACCACTACAAAATTCCTAAATGCATCTTGAAATGTCAAAGAGGGAATAAATCCCGTTTGGAATAGCTTTAGTGTTAGATATTTTATTATATGCAGTTACTGTATCTCATGCATTATATAATGTGTACACATTTATGGTACGTGTCTATGTATCTATACATAGCTAGGATACTAGTAGCTCAGCATACCTGAATACTT